TGCAGTTTAATGATACATGGTAAAGAAATAGCTTCCGGGGGTAACAATAGCTACATTCGGATTGTGAGATAATAAATGATTAATTTTTTGCATGTTGTCTTTTTCAGATTTTAAGTAAAGTTATTTATATTGCTTCCTTAATTTTATTAAGTGAAGAAAAAAATTCTGTGACATGTTATAAAAGAGACTCTAGAACTTTCAAACTGTTTCCCATGTCTTAGTTGTCCTTTTGAGCAGCAAGGTTTTTATTCTAATTATACTGCCCTAATTCTATCCATTTTTGGAACTCCTATGATTCCACTGAGAGCCTCCCACCTGTCCTCAGTGGCGGGAATTTTTTTTCAGTTGAAAAGTACCTAATTTTTGGCCAGAGTCACATGACATTCATAGCAGAATGCAAGGAACAAAGTTGATAAGCTGACTAATATCATGTGGAGTCTAGGAGAGAGTGAGATACTGAGACATTTTTGTGTGTCATGTAAGTACCTCTTCAAGCTCTTAAACACGTAACGTCAAGGAATAAAGTTGAAAATACAATTGCTTTAAAAACTATTACATAAAATTTTAAAAACATAACTTTCTATCTAAAAAGGATTTGAACAAAGCATCCTTGCAATAAGCATATACAGAAGGTGCCAAAAAAATGTATACACATTTTAAGAAAGGGCAAAAAAACTGTATAAAAATCGTAATACTCAATATATACTGATAACCAAAGATGAATACAAATCACATTTGACTTCTGCAATTACAAGAGGTGCTCAAAGTGGTTACCATCAGCGTAATTTTAATACAGTTTTTTCTTTTATTAAAATGTGTATCGGGCCGGCCGAGTGGCGCGATGGTTAAGAACTCGCTTGGGATGCCAGAGGGCCCCGGTTCGGATCCCACATATGAGGGCCAGTGACACTGCCCTCCACAGCTAAGATGCTGAACAACAGCTCAACCTGGAGCTGGGCTGCCGTGAGTCGCCGGCGACGGCGTAGGCTGCAGTCCCTGTGGCAGTGGGTTGCCATGGGCTACCATATGTAGCCAGCAGCCAGCGTGAGCGGCCAGCAGCCGCAGTGAGCGGCCGTCCAGAAGCCGGCGACTGATCTGCCTCGCCAGGGAAGAGCGCAATGATGGTGCCAACTTGGGCCAGTGAAGCAACATCCTCCACAACTAGATTGAAGAACAAGACGACAGCAACTTGTCTGTTCCCCGTTCCCCAGCACTGTTCCCATTCCCCCAATTCCCCCAATAAAAATCTTTAAAAAAAAAAATGTGTATGCATTTTTTTGACACCCTTGGTATATCCCTCAGATGACTCCCTTGAAAAGGGCCTCACTCATTCATGCATAGTTCTTATTTGTTAAAGAGATAGTGCCCTCACTCTCAATCACATAATCACAGGGCCTGGACTATGAGTTCTAGGGCCAACTTGCTTAGCTCTGAATGGAGCTGTACCACTTACTAAGTGAGACTTCTGCAAGTTCTAAACCTCCCCAGGCCTCAGTTTCCTACCTACACAATGGGGAGAGGGGATTTTAGTACTCCATGGGGTTGTTTTGAGGTTTAAATAAGGTAATAACTGTTCAATGTTTTTAAAAATGCCTTGAATGTAACAATTTCGTCAATTTTAAGATGCACATATTTCACATTTTAACACTTCTGAAATGAAGATGCGTCTTACAATTAATGTAATTTTTAAAAAGGATCTCATCACCATTTAGTTAGCAGTATCTTTTTTAAATCAATGACTTAATGATGCACCTTAGGGTATATTACATTTTAAATTTCAATAACAAATAGTACGAGCTCGAGAAATACTAGTTGTCATCAGTAGTGTAGTGTCATCAGTGTTGTTATCGTCATCATTATTTTGGTTCTAACCAAGACAGTGGCACTTGATTGGTTGGCAGTGCTAGCCTAGAGTTTACATCAAATCTCAGTTTCACCTGTTTGTTTACGTTGATGTGTTCTTAGAAAAGATTTAGTGAGCTGTTTTTCACATTTGTTTTGTATTAAGCTAATGGAAAGTATTTACAGGGTTAATTCTTGCAATGTCTGCATTATTCTCTGCATTGGGGAGCTACTAACATGTTCTTTAAAGCAAACCAGTGTCTTGAAATAAATAGAGAAGACGAAGATAAATTCTTTATTTTCTCTATTGAAGTATTTTCCTAAATCTTTTCGAAGAAGTGCTTTTTCTTCGTAAGCAGAACTAAGCCACCATTGTACCACTTAAGATTTACTGGTTTGCAGTCTTCTCTGTGGGAGAAAAGAGGCCATTTATTGATCTGTAACAGAGAATGGATGGTGGCCAAACCTTGTCTGGTTTATACAATGCACTGCCCTAAGAATCTGCATGTCATTAAGAAGACTGAGTCTCACAATTTGAGGCCACCTGTCAGGCATGAACAATAACTAAAAAAAATCGATACACAACATAAAACTGTTGTTTTTGCACAAACACCCACGCCCAGTGATGGGTGTCTTGTTCTTTTCCCAGTGATATGCTTGTAGTTCCTAATTTTAGGCTTCCCCCTCCTTTTGATTTTATTGTTCAGCTTGCAGGAGAGTGAAAGAGACCAATTTGAGTCTGAAATAAAGATCTTCTGCTGGGTGAAAGAGGTTCAATACAGGACAGAACCTTGGACCAAAGTTTATGAAGCCTGATTAGAAAGATTCTGGGCACATCTCCATCCAAATACCTTGACACATACTTCATGCATCTGTAACATATGCAGCTTGTTTCTTCTTGCCTTCTGCTTGCCTTCAGGAGTTTAAATGGTGGTATTTACAAGCCATTATGAAGCAAGAGTACAAACACACCAGGCTAGCAAGGGGGCAGTAAATAGGGATTTCGCTTAGGTTTTTGTTGTTTTTGGCCTTTGAAAGTAAAATTAGTTGAATAATTCTAGAAGCTGGGCTTCTTACCTTTGCCCCCTCATCTCCCCATTCCTCCTCCTTCAGTTACCCCAGTCCCCCCCCTTTTTTTTTTACAAAGCTACGTTTGTCAAACATGTATAGTCATCCCTACTCTTACAGATTAATGCTCACTCTATCCCTAAAGCCTGCCTTTGACTCAGCTAGCTCTACTGTGCACAGAGGTTATTGCTCTCTCTCCACGTTCAATGCCGTGGACCTGAACCAATGCCTATTTCCAACAGAATGTCAGGTCATTGCCACATAGATAGATTAGAGCCCTCCTGCTCTCCTGATACGCTGCCAGGCAGAAACTGGGGACCGGCGAGGAGCTCGGTAGCCACCAGTGGAAGGTTGAGAATGGAGACCCCCGCTGGTTAGCTGAGCAGCAGTCGCTGTAGGAGCACACCTCTCAGAAGCAGCCTGCATAACACAATCCTTTAGTTTGCAGAGTTGCTTTCACAGTATTTAGCTTTGAACTGTGGTGCAAACCCATTCAAACAGTGAGGAAAATTTCACTAGCTAAGCAGCAAGAAATTCTCACCCTGTGTAATCAAAGCCATCAGCCATTTCCTCTTCCTTTTTATTTACTTATATTTCTGACCTCATAATCTCCATGACTGTGGCTGGATATTTTCCTTTTGCATAGCATTTTTAAAATAATTTTTCCTTTCTCCAATGTATTTTAAAGCAAATAAAACCAAAATTAACAGGAGGTATCTAATATTTCTTTTTAATAATTATCATTACAAAAGTAATAAAGAATCTAAAATCATCCATAGTTGCATTCCCCAGGGGCAACCATAATAAACATTTTGGTGTATTTACTTCTAATTGTTTTAAATAAATGTCTAAATATGTACATACCATATTTTTCACAAAATTAGGTTTATGATAGAATACAGTTTTTTTATCAACATACTTTGAGTATTTTTCTGTATTATCCGAAACTTGTAAATGATTTCAGTGGCTGCTTAGATTCCAGTATATGTGGATATGTTATTATTTTAACATTCTCCGTTGTTGGGAGGTCATGCAGATTTTGAATTAACATTTTAATTCTGAGCTTGAAATTTGTTAAGCTCAATTTCTTCTGATTTTGTGGGTCTAAGCGTTAGAATTTGGGCACAGCGGAAATGGAATATTTCTATCCATGCCATGGTTTGCTTTCCTTGCCAGCTTTTTTCAGGTGGCATTTTTGGAAAAGCAAAGGTTGGAGCAACGTTCTTTTCTGTCCTTTTTCTTGTTTCTTTGGTTTTTTTTAAGCTGAGCCATCCTGCTACCTGTTGGCAGCTCAGCGGCAGCTCAGCTCTGGCCGGGACTCCAACCACTATTGCTCAGAGCTCAAACTCTTGAGTGAGCTCTTAACCAACTGAGCCACTCGGCCGGCTCTCCATATTTTTTAAAATTTTGTGATTGTAACGTAAGTCATGTTATAGTAATCTCAGTTACTTTTACACAGAAATCAATATAAAATAAGAAGTATGTTGCTCAACATGAACCCTTAAGTTTCAAAACTGCCATTTCAAGTTTATCCAGCAAGACAATGGGAGATGCTAAAGACTTTTTTTAAGAAGGGGACTAACTGGATTAGATTTGTGTTTTAGAAGATTTGAGATATCTCAAAAGAATGATCTTCTTTAAAAAGGTGAACATTTGATACAACTGCTTTCAAATTGCAATTGAGTAAGTGAAACTATGGAACCAATATTTGGAAGGGAGGATAAGCTAAAAAACCAAAAATAATTTGTGGAGTGCTACACAATGATACACGTTTGGGAGGTCATTTGTATTTGAAGACCTCCTTCCTAAAAAGTCACGTTTCTAAAGAACCCGTTTTGTCTCCCATAGAGTATTATGTCTCGAGACCTGCTTTCCATGCCTGTCCACAGGTGCATCTGGGGGCCTGTTATTCCCGTAACACACCGAATGGCCGGGTCCAGGGCAGCCACCACCTTGATCCACAGGCTGTCACTCCCCATTTGGTTTTGCTCTCTCCATTAGCAGTCATCTTTGTAAACAGAAGTCTAAGATTTAGTGTTGTACATATTTTTAAATGATCCATTCTGATGGGGCTCTCTTTATTGTTTCAGGTTGAATGCGCTTGGGAACTTAATGCATAAAATTTGCATGACTCCTCACTCCTTTCTGGATCTGTCATTGGATTCAAGCCAGCATGGCTCATACCACAAAGGTTAACGGCTGTGCCTCAGGTAACTCCGTGTTCTGGAGACAGAGAGAGAGAGAGAGAGAGAGAGAGAGAGAGAGGTAGTGTGTGTGTGTGTGTGTGTGTGTGTGTAAATGTATGTCTTTGCTCAAACTAATTTCTAATTTTCATTTTAATAAATGGATAGATGATAGCAAGTTTGCTTAGATAACTAGGATTTAAAAGCAATTTTCTATCCACTGAAGTTGTGTTTTATTTTGTTTTGTTAATCTCAGAGAATTTGCTTTTTTATCTTTAGAGCCTTTATATACAGAAATCAGTTAGGTAAATTATTGCCTAAGTCAATTCTATTGAAGGTTGAAAGATAAATGTAGAATCCTGAATGCCAATGCAAGTATAATGTAAGCTCCCCCTTGCACTTTCTTTCCTTCCCAACCAGTCTTTTCCCATCCTCCTTGGAAGAGCTATCCTAAACCTCTACCTTTCCCCTAAAGTCCCTAGTCTGGCACCGAAATCTCAGTCCAGAAAATGGACGCCTGTCCTAAAAAAAGAAAAAAAGAAAGTGGGGTGAGCTGGCGGCAGGGAAGGAAGTGCAAGCTCTGGTTCCAGGTCCTTATTGTGGGGTGAGGGTAACTCATGGGGGCTGTTCAAAAAAAAAAAAGGAACAATGAGAGAGGAAATGAGTTTGGATGCTTAAAACCAAATCCTAGTATCCACTCCCAAGCAGTGTTGTTGTTTTTTTTAATTAAAAATATTTATTACAGTAAAACACACAGTGCCATTAATGCCCCTCAAAATACTCCCCCTCGCTTCAAACACACTTATCCCATCAGTTTTGTTTGATGTTGCTAAACAAAGGGAAAGCAAGCATCTATTCTCTCCAGTGGCTTTCCCAGAGAGGAATATGCACCAGGCCATATTATGAATCATAAAGACTTCTAGTGGGATTCCTACTTTGGTTGTATTAAGACCTATACAGTTTGCATATCTACTCCAATATTGCTTATGTAACATTTGGGAGACATTTATAGAACAAATGCAGTATGTAAGCTGTAAAAAAAAGCACTTTGAAAGGCAGGAACAGCAGGAGGAGAAGGCTGAAGTGGGCATACCCAGCCCATGTATGATATGACTATGATATGACTTTCTGTCCCAGTAATCCCAGCTGCAAGTACCCTCTCTGGCAAGAGTGCAATGCTCGCACCAAACCAAACCCAAATAAACTCAGTTGTTTATTTTGTCTGTTATCTTGCTTGTCCTTCTTAGTCCCCAACTTCTTGAGACTACTGTAGATTCTACTGTCAATTATAAAATATGAATGTCAGTATCTAATATTTAATGAACACTTACCACGTACCACGGTGCCCAAGATGCTTTGCCTGTTTTATCCTCGTGGTAATCCTATAAGATTATACTATTACCATCACCAACACCACCACCATCATCCCTGAGTGGTGACACATAGAAGCTCAGTAAGTTATCTAAGTGACAGAAGGAAAGTCAGGATTATTACTTGTTTCTCTAGTAAAATACTTGATAAGGGAGGAGATTGAAACATTGTGAAAGTTCTTGAGAGAGGGGGTGGGTTTCAGTCTCCTGTTATGCTGTGATCTCCTTCCGTCTCCTGCCCACGTTTCCATTCGCACACTCAGAGGAAGTGGGGCTTAGAGTTGTTCAGGCCTCCAACCCCACCCTCCGGTGTCTCTGGCAGAATCTGGTCTTTAAGGATTTGAATACCTACCTCATTTGTCCCTAATTCCTTTTCCAACTTGATTTGTCCTAGAGTGTCCCTTTTCTCTTTCTTCCTGAGGTCTGATGATCTAGCTATATATAAGCTGCTGTCCTGCCTAAAAGATCTGGGCACCGAGTTTGAATGCAAAGGAAAGCTCTCGAATTTGTGACTTCTGGGTTTCAGGATATGGGGTGTTAATGTAGACAGGTACCTGGACCAGGCAAGTGAAGGTTTTTGTTTATTCTCGTCGCCATGACGTCTGTAGACCTGTAAGCAAATCTTGATTAGAGGCTCAGTCACATATAATTACTTTAATTATACAGAGAGAGAGAGAGAGAGAGAGAGAGAGAGAGATTTTTAAACATATATACATTACATATATATGTATATGATGCTCATTATAGAAAAAAAATTAAATATGGACATGTAGTATTGTCTAAAAAAAATAATAAATCAAGAATTGCTTGTAATATCACCACCCAGAAATAAATGTTTTGTTCATTTCCCATATAGTATTTAGATTTTATATATTTCACATAGTTGAGATTGTCCTTATAAAAGTTATTGTTTTACCTTTTCTTTTTCCACTTTGTGTTACAAAAGAAATACCTGACTATTTTTTTTTTTGCTTTGTTTTTTAAAAAAGCCAAACTCAAACAATGCAAAAGCTCACGCTGGTTATAAATATACTATTTTGAAATGTAATTAGCATGAGAACATTTACAGCCCGCAGATGAAGACGGGACAGAGAAGACTTTATAGCAGCTAACGAAGGCTGATTCCTGATTTTTCCCATGAGAAAAAGATAAATTATTTGGGTAGTTTAGTAGAATTTTTCAATATAGAGTAAATTATATGTTTTTTTTTTATTTTCCAAAGATAAAGTATAATATTAAATATGTTTTTTAGAACTCTACTTCCCCTAGATATGCCCAAAAGGAGTCTCCCCCCCACCCCTTCCCCTGAAAAATCACTGCTTTTGGCCCCATAGACCAGGAAGAGAAATCCCATGTGAAGGTGGGGTCAGCACATTGGCAAAAGAAACACTTCATGGTCTCAGGAATAAAGCAGAGGCAAAAGAAGAGCATCCGAGAAATGCATGGCCACCCACACCGCCCCTAGGCTGCAAAACCCACCTGAGGACGTCCAGCCACACCGCCCCTAGGCTGCAAAACCCACCTGAGGACGCCCAGCCACACCGCCCCTAGGCTGCAAAACCCACCTCAGGACGCCCAGCCACACCGCCCCTAGGCTGCAAAACCCACCTCAGGACACCCAGCCACACCACCCCTAGGCTGCAAAACCCATCTCAGGACCAATCACCCCACAATCACATCCCTGTTTATTTAGAGCTTAACCTGAGTAGGGGACGAGTCACAAGTCCTTTGATATTCTGTCTTCCCCATTGAGTCCTTCAGTTAGAGTGGGTAAAAGATACTCATTTGGAAATAAGAGCAGTTAGTTAATACCGGAAGTGGTAAAATGTATTACCATACATTTCAGACATAGAAAATGCATAAAGGCTCTATAAAGAACCCATGTACATAGCACCTAACTTAAGAAATAAACTTTACTATACTAGTACGTGGAAAATTTTGAGCAGCTACAATGTGCCAGGCATTGTTCTGGGCACTGGGGATACAGCAGTGACTAAAACGGGGAAAGATCTCTATCTTCAAGGACCTCACATTCTAGTGGAAATTGCAGTCTCCTGTAGACAGAGTGCAAGTATCCAGATGAAAAAGAGGACATATTTATACTTTAAAAGTATTTGTTGTTCATGTGAAATTCAAATTCAACTGGGTGTCCTCTGTTTTTATTTGCTAAACCTGGCAGCCCTACCTGTGTCTGTCTCCTGGATGGCCTCTGGTTTCTTACCGTCCGTCCACCCTGTCAATAGCAGTCATTTCTCACCAGGTCCTTCATCCAGTTCCCATTGACTGGTACAGATTTGTTTTTATTCATTTAAATCATTTCATTATGCGATTACTAAGAGTACTCTGATGTCATTTGTTGTTTGTTAATGTGAGCATCATAAATTGATCATGAATTTTTTTCCTTCTTTTTTTTCTTATAGCTAACCAGAAAGCAAATGGGGGTCGTTGGTTAGGAAAACTGCTGAATTTCTGTGGAGTTTAGAGATGGGGACAGTCTACTTTTTCCCAAGTTTTCTGAATCATGTTGTAAACTGGATACACTGATTGATACCTCCCTAAACACTAATTAATGTTGTGAAACTTTAATTAGAGCTTAGAATCTCCGTAGAAGCCAAATATAATAACAAGTAGCTTATTTGTCAGGTGAAGATAATAATACCCGTCCTGCCTTCTTCACAGGATTGGTGTGAGAAAAAAAAAAAAAAACAATAGCCATGAAAACACTTTTTAAGCTGTAAAGTGCTGGTCAGATATCAGAGGAGATCACTGTCCTTGTTCTGCTATCTCTGCCATAAGCTCGTGATCAATACGCACCTGTGCAGGTGCCATCATGCCAGGCCCTGTCGGATGCTGTGACATTGAGGCAGGAATTGTATTGCTGTCCTGACTCGACAGTTAAATGAAAACTAGATGAGCAGTACGGAGTGGCTTTTTATGCCTCACATCATCATCTTTATTTTTGCTCACGTCATCATGTTGCCTTTCCCAGTTCATTGTAGCTATGCCCCCTCTTGCTATTTCTCTTTCACAGACTAAATGTACATATATGTTTGCTGGACAGATACATTATTTGCTTATTGAAAGTCCTTATTGCACTGCATTAAAATACGGTTATTATTTTAAATTAATATAATACATTTCATAAAGTCTTGCTACCCTAGTCAGTTATTTGGCTCCAGGGTTTGTCTCCATGCTGATCTTAAATGAGGTTCAAAGGCCACTGATAAGGCCTGGTCCGTCAGACAGAGCCAGAGACTCCTAGCAGAACAGGTGCAACGCTGCAGTACAGTGCAGCCCACTCTCGGTTGTGTAAATATTTTTTCTGGGCAGGAGCATTTCTCAAATAGAACTCTGAGCCCACTGCGGTGACCCGGACAGCAAGAATTGCATGCTGTTTGTCAAGTACAAGATCAGTGTGCACTGACTGGCCTGGCTAGAACCAACCTGGTGTTTTCTGAGACCACCTGTAAGAAAGTCCCGGAGTACAGCAGAGGTGGTGTGTTTGTGGTGGATAGCCCTGGACCTGTCGTCTACATTATCATTGATCCAAAGGTAGAGGGTGAGCTGATTAGAAACTGGGGCTGCTTTAGTTTGTGGGTGCCCTCCATGACCTTCCGGGGTCTCCTGATTCAATCTGCAAAAGGATTAAATGTATGT